CACCTTCCCCTCAGCTCCAGGTTTCCTCCTTCTTACTCCCACCTTAACCAAACCATCCCCTGCTCTAGTTCGGGCATCTCCCACAACACCCCTCCGAGTGGGATGAGACCCCGGGGCTAATGAGGGTTTGGATCTTAATTAGCAGATTGGAATTTGGGGGCTGGCAATGCCAAATCCCTCCACCCTCCCCAGGAGGGCAGGACCAGGGAAGAAAAGGCTTTTTTTTTCACCCAAGGAAAACACAGTTACTGAGTGACTCCAAAAAGGCAACCCACGAAGAGATACAGTAACAGGAAATATTTAATTTTTTTTCCAATCTCCACTTCTCCATTTTTATAAACCGAAAAGGAAAAAAAAAAAAAAAAAAGATTTTTAATATATTACAAAATATCTGTACAGAGACAAAGGTACAACCGAAAAAAAAAAGGCGCGCTCGGTCTCCAAAGGAAACTCGGGAGAGGTAAAGTCAGAGTGTGTGACCAGAGGCTTCTCTGCTGGGAATTGCTACAGTGGGAGAAACGTTGGATTGACCCCAAAAAACTGGGATGGGAGGAAGGAGGGAGGAGCTGCCACCCCCCCCCCTCCGCCCTTTCTGTAACCTCCTTTTAAATGCAAAAAAAAAAATCATCCCCCTCTGAAAACGGCAAATCTTTTTGTCTTCTTTGTGCAGAGCGTTGGAAGGGAAAAGAGAAAAAAAAAAAATTAAAAATAGGGGAAAAAAAAATGAAAGAAAAAGAGGTGGTGGGGGACAGGAGTGGCCCCACAGCCCCCGTGGCCCTGGCAGGGACTGAAAGGCTCGTGCTGGGACCAGTTAGGAAAGGCCAGGGGAGCTGGAATTGCTTGTCCCTCCTGGGGTGTTCAGGGGGTGAGGGAGAAGGGAATGGTGGAACCTCCTCCTGCAGGAACCCAGAGGGCAAAGGCAGGGAACAGACACCTGGAATGGCTGTCCCTGGCTGGGGGTGGGACAGGGAACAGGAGCCCCCCCAGCCCCTTCCCAGCCCCTGCTGGAACAGGGAGCAAAGGGGAGGGGGGACAGAGCTCTGCCAGCTGGGAGAGACCACCCTGAACTGGGCCCAACCACCCCTAAACTGACACAAACACCCCGAACTGGGACCAGCGACCCCTAAACTGGGACCCCAAGGCCGGGATGGCACCGGCACCGAGGAGGGGGCAGAGCCTGTGGGAGGAAGGGGCTCGTTCCTGGCAGCTTTTCCTGGGAATGTGCCAATTTGGAAAGACAATAAACAGGCCTCGTCTCCCCAGGAGGGTCCAGGCACCAGGAACACGACTTTTCCTTCCAAATTGGGTGGGATTGGGAAGGAACAACAAAAGCAGCAGCAGCAGCTCTGTGGCAGCCCGAGCTGGGAAGGGGAAAACAGAGAAATCACCCCCCACTGGAGGGGTGCCCGGGGGGGTTCAGTGCACTGTGTGTCTCACAGAACTTCTCTTTCTTTCCTCTCTGCACATCAGGATGAATTAACAATTAAAAAAAAAAACAACAAAAAAACCAAACAAAACCAAAAATAAAAAAAACCCCCACAGATCACCAGTGGGAACTCAGCAAACTAAACACAAAATATATCCATTTATAGCGACTCTTCTCTCCCCTCCTTCCTCCCCTCGGCACAGCTGGGTAAGGCAGGATTTTCCCCAGGTGGAGAAGCATCACCTATTCAGGTGCATTTATTTAAATTTCTCTCTCTGTATAAAAAGAAATTAAATCCTGTCAGAAGCAAGGCCCCCACCACACCCTGGATTTTCCCCTCCCCTCCCCTTTAACACTCCAGAACTGTCGGCTCTAAAATTCAGTGTTTTCCATAGGAAAGGCCTACTCAGAAACAAAAAAAAGCTGATAAATAGGTACCTTTGTTTTATTCATCTCTTTTTAAGTCTCATTGAAATGAACAGCGCAAGGGTCTGCGGGGAGGAGAAAAATTCATCGTAAATACTTCCTCGACAAACAACAAAAATAGAAATATGCTCGTAGAAATGATACAGGAACACCTGGAAAAACCTCCCAGGGCTGAGACGTGAACCGACCTCGGCAGGGTGGGCAGCACCAGCCTGGGATTCTGGGGGCAAATCCCACCAGGAGCTGGATTTTTGTCTCCTTTTTTTTTTTTTCTTAATTCTTTTCAGTGTTCTGGAAGTTACAAGTGACAGAAATCCCCGTTTTTCAGGGAGGTGTTCGCCTCGGCTCTTAAAAAAAAAATAAAAATAAGGAAAAATAAGACAATTCCCGCTGCAAAGTTACAGCAGGAGGGATCTAACCTCCAGAGAGCCCTCCCAAAATTCAGTGTACTAAGGCTGCTGTCACAGGGGACAGGACCTGGCCCCGGAGCAGAGGGAAAACTGGAGGCCTTATGGAAAAAAACCCAACATTGGATTAACTGAGCACAATCAGTGTCACATCCCAGGCCCCCACCGCTGGGATAAACCCCTCCAGGTGCCTCTGCATCAAAATATTCCCCTTTTAATTTGGTGTGTTTTTTTTTTTTTTCCTTTTTCTTTTTTTTGTTTCTTAAGGAAATTGGGAAAATAAACAAAAGAAATAATTGCTTTGGGAAGCAGCCTCCCCCCAGCCCTCCCTGACCACTGGGAAACAGCTTTTTTCCTTTTTTTTTTTTTTTTAAGCTTCTTCCTCTCCTTCCAATTTTTCCCTCGATCCCCCCCTCTCCCCTGGCTCAGTTTGGGACTGTCTTTTTTATCACTAACCCAGCACGGGAGGGTCTGGCCCCGGCGGGATCTGCGGCACATCCCGAGAGGGAGGGCGGGAGGGGAGGGATGCACAGGGGAGCTCTGCAGCAGCTGAAATGTGGACGAGACCTTGCTCTGGCCAAAAAAAAAAAACAACCCCAAAAAAACCCCCCAAAACCCCAAAGGAAACCGAGTCCTGTGGCTGAAGGAGGAGAGGCGAGGGGGGGAGCCCGGGAATGGTCAGTAGGGAACCCCCCGGCCGCGGCCCCCCCTCGGAGGCACTCTGCCAGGCCCTCGGAACGCCTTCCCGTAGGACGGCGGTGCCTGGCTTGGGGCTCCCCAGCTCCCTGCCCCGCTGGAAGCGGCCGTTCCCGGCCCCAACTCGCCGTAACTCTGGCTTTTGGCCTCGGTGTGTCCCAGCGCGGCGTTGTTGCTGCTGCTGCTGCTGCTCCCCTCGGATTTGCCGAAGGATTGCCCGAGCGAGTGGAGGCCGACGGGGACTCTGGCGAAACGCAGGTCCTGGTCCCCTGGGAACTGCACCGAGCCCGTGCCCTGGTAGTTGCTGCTCTCCCCGAGGTGGCTCACGGAGCCCAAGAAGGTCCTGCTTTTCCCCAGGGGCTGGGCAGAAGGTTCTAGAAGCGTCTGGCCCGAGTTCAGCTCCTCGGCACCGAATCCCCCCTCGGAGCCGGAGCCGTCGGCGCTGTAAGTCCTGGAGGGCTGGGGGCGGCCGTAGTCCCTCGGGGCTGGGGGCTCCTGCGTGGCGTGGCCGGGCAGCTCCGTGTCCTGCTGGGAAAGGAGCTGGAGCAGCGCAGCCGTCACGGCCGGATTCAACTCCTGGGCTGCTCCGGAGAGATCCCCTTCGGGCACAGGAGGAGGCGGCGGCGGTCCGGGGGGCTCGGGGGGTCTCTTCTCTGGAGGGACAATGCCGGGAGGACACGCTGTGGAAGGGGTGACTCCTTTTAAAACACCGTTTCAAACACACACACACAAAGACATTTCACAAGCAAACCAAACTGGGATGCGCCGGGAAGAGGCGGAGAGAGGGAGAGTTTTAGGGCTCCTCGCCGGGAGATCGGGGCGATGTGTTTCACTAACACCGTCACCCAAAAGGCCCCACACGGCAACAGCTGTCCTATAACACACCTTGGGCACCGGGGAGGGAATTCCTGCTCCCAGATAAAAAGGCAGGTGTGGAGCCACACGGGCCAGCCCCACGTGGAGCCGCCCGGCTCCGGCTCCGGAGCGTGGCCAGGAGGTGTCGGATCAGCCAGACACCAAGCCAGGCCCAACCACACCGAGCCCTGCTCCTCACTGCTCCCACAGCATCCCACGGGGAGCAGGACACCCGTTCCTGCCCCCTCCCACCAGCCCCGGCCCTGCTTCCCGAGCTTTCCAACACAGAGTCCAAAACAACCTCACCCCCCAAATACTCGCACGGACCGGTCTCAGTGTGAGAAAAGCCTTTTGATTCCTCCCCCCCTGCCCCTTTCTCCCCTATTTCCCCCCCCAAAAAATCAGGATTTGCTTCCAATCAGGATTTGTTTCGAGTCCCTCCTGGCAAGAACAAAGCCCCCCCAGCTCTCACTGCTCTGTGAGGCAGAGGGAGCACCAACGGGCCTGGTTGGGAGGTGGGAGAGGGGAGCAGAGCCCTGGCCCTCCCCTGAGGCAGTGCCACACCTGGGAGTGACACCACAGGTGACACCACGGAGGGGAGGACGCGGCTCCCCGAGGGACACGACCTGCTCCGCTCCCAAAAGCAGCCCTGACTCCTCTCTGGAGCAACACACCTGAGCTGCCTCCTGCCCCTCACCCACAGGGGAGGGAATTACAGAGGCCACGGACACCTCATCGGAATCACATCCTCAAATCACTGGCAAAACTGGTTATTAAAAAGGTCAAACTTTATTTTGTGAAAACCAGTAGTCTTCCAGGACCACCCCTCCACCCGTATCCATCAGTCCACTTTGAAAACTAGATTGTATTGAAATCCAGGAGAAAAAAAAAAATTAAAAAAAAAAAAAAAAAAAAAAAAAAAAAAAAAAAAAAAAAAAAAAAAAAAAAAAAAAAAAAAAAAAAAAAAAAAAAAAAATTTAAAAAAAAAAAAAAACCAAACCCAAAAACAATCTTCAGGTAAATTTGTAAAGCCAAGCTGATTTGGGGACAGCAATTCATTCCGAAAAGAGTTATCAACAGAGAACAACAGCATGGAATTCCATCTGCTCTACAGTAACCTAGTTATCTTCCAGGACTAGGGCAACAACAACAGAAAAAAAAAAAAAATTAAAAAAAAAAAAAAATAAAAAGCACGATCACAACTGGCTCGTGGTGGGCGGGTGTTGAAGGCACGAGAACACAGCACGTTCAGCTACATTGCAGGAGGTGGGATCGGGCCAAAACAGGCTCCCCGGAGAGTCTGAGACAAACCCAGGAGGCGCTTCTACAACTGGGTGAGGTCGTCACAGGCTGTGGCTAATAAATTCAGAAAAATCAACAGAAACAAGAGACATGGAGACAATTTTACACTCACCTTCGGGCAAGGAAATCCGAGACTTCACCGACACAAGCACTGCTCTGAAACTCTGGCTACGAGGAGCAGCTCGGCCTCAGGAGCTGCTGGATTTCACAGGGTTTCCAAACTGAACTCCAGGAAAAACCTGGTTTTATCTCACAACTGCCACTGTCCCTCCCTTCAGCACTCACCAGCGTTTCAGTTCCTTTAAAAATCATCTGTGTTTATTTTTTTTTTTTTTTTTTTTTTAATTCTCGAGAGGGCAGTAAGGGCATGGTGAAAAATACTCGCGGTAATAAAGAGGGGAAAATTCACAGAGGTTCCTGTGCTAAAAAAAAACCCTCCCTGGATGTGCCAGCTGCTCGCTGGGGGGTGTTGAGAAGAACCGACCCTCCAGACTTCCATTTCATTTACGGGCAAACCCTCAAACCCTTTTAATTAACCTTCACTGACCCATTCACAGCAGAGCACTAAAGGATTTTAGAGTGAATATTTGCACGTTTTTGCCTGTTTGGAGTTCAGACCCCCCTGGGCAGCCCAGCACTTACCGCAGGGAGGGGGACACTTCGAAACCTGAGGCCTGAGCACATCCTATCATCTTCCCTCCTCCCAAGCTCTCATTCCTCCTGGGAAAACGAGACCTCTCCCACTCCCACTCCCCCCTGGGACGCTTCAACTCCTCAGACAACTGCGTGGCACCGGGAGCCACCACGTGAGAGGCCCATCCATTTACCTGAGCTCTCCTCCGGGTGCCTGGGTGGGGTTTTCCGGGGCGCCCGCTGCTCGCTGCTCTTCTCCCCGTTGCTCTCCTCCAGGGATGGGATCCCGGGCTCCTGGCTCTTCATGAGCTGACTCAGCAGAACCGCCAGCACGTTCTGCATGTCTCCCTGAGCGCTGGCTGCGTCCGGAGTCTGCTGCTCCTCCGGCGCCTCCGGAGGGGGCTCCTCTATGGCTTCCTCTGGCGGCGCCGCCGGGGGCTCGTGGTGCTGCGCCGTGGCCTCGGTCAGCGCCGTGATGGACTGGTTGAGGGCCTCCAGCTGCTGCTGCATCTCGGGGTTCGAGTGCACGTTCAGGAGCTGGGCCATCTGCGGCACGCTCAGGTCGGTCTGGCTCTGCAGCAGGTTCAGGAGCACGGCCAGCTCGCTCTGGTTCAGCTGCTGGGTGATGTCCCCGAGGCCTGCGGGACACGCCGGGAGGGGAGGAGAGGGGAGTGTCACTGCTGGGGGGGGGGGCGGGTTTGGGGTCCTGGTGCTGCACAGGGAAATGGGACACCCCTTCCCCACGACCCACAGCAATGAACAGCCCATTCCCATGACCCACAGTACTGAGCAGCCCTTCCCCACATCAAGGAATCCTCCTTCCCCACATCCCACAGCCATAATCCACATCCCCCACAGCAAGGAATTCCCCTTCCCCACATCCCTGAACATCCCCCTTTTCCCCGTGCCCAGGCTGGGGGAAGGCAGGGAGGCTCCAGGCTATCCTGCTGGCACTGCCATGGCACGGCAGCAGCACCCCGTGGTGCAGGGCACACACTGCACTCCCCGGAGCTGCTGCTGCCTCCCTGCCCCTCTGACCTCCCAGCCACCACTGCTGCCAAAACCTCAGCTCAGCTGAGTCAAACCTCCCAGCTCCTGGGTCTGGGAAGCCAGGGCATCCCAAGGATACCGCGCTGTGGCAGTGGGTGATGATGATGGAAGGCCCAAAGCCACATCAGAGCAATCACAGCAGCTCAGCCCCTCCCCAGGTCCCCACGGATCAGTCACCCCCAGGATGGAGCAGAGCTGCTGTAGTTTGGGATGCAGGAAGGGCGTGTTCAGTGACACAGCAGAAGGAATTAGGTCAAGCAGAAGGTAGTTCCTGGCCTGGGATCACAGGGCTCTGTCCTGACTCGCAAGGATCCAGGTTATCCTAAAATACATCCCTGGAGTGGCACCACCTCCCTCTGCAGCCCACTGGAGTGACAAGTGACAAGGGTGCCCCTTCACGCTGACACTGGAACTTTTTGGGAATAAGGGTGCCATGGTTTGGTTTTTTAGAAGCTTAAACTGGAGCTCCTCTCGCTGGTGGGGAATGAGGAACGTGACGCTCTTTTCCCAGCTGTTTGTTAATCCAAGCACCACCTTTTGTCCATCTGCCATGTTTCACTGAACACATGGATTGTGCATTCCCTGGAGCAAGAACTGTCTTCCTCATTACTTGTCAGCACAGCATTGGACACAAAGGAAGCTTTAGCCCCCCTATCTGGGTTTTTATAAGGCTTCTACAGAACAATCAGGGCAGCTTTGTGTAACTCCACATTCCCAGGAATCAAAATACCTCCCCTCCAACTATTTTCTAGGCACAGGGAGGTTGGTCACGGGTTGGAACAGTGCACAAGTTCTGGTCCTGCAAGTCTTGATGACCTTTTCTGCGATAAAGTGCAATAATGTACATTTCTGCATATACCCCACACCTAATCTTCATATAATTTGATCAGCAAGATCAAACTTCAGCTCCTTTGCACACCCTGGATGTGGCTGCACCTTCCAGCCTGTGATCTGTTCCTTCCCTGGCTTAAGTGACTCAGTGACTCCTTTCATCATTCAGCCCCTTTCTGAACTAATAACACAGCGCAGAACAAATTCACACTCAGCTCATCAGTGACTTCTGAAGACCAGACAGAACCCTCTGCGCCTCCACGGCAGAGAGGGGATGAAAAAAAAACAAAAAAACAAACAAAAAAGAAGGGAAGAAACGAGGACAGGAAGAGTCTGGAACGCCCTTTCTGCAGAAATAGAGGTGAAAGAACCAGCCTGGCTCAAAAACCAGACACAAACCTCCCACACCCAGGGAGGGGACACACCGGGAGCCTTCTCCAGAGCAAAAGTGGGCACTGACCTACTGCATCTGCAGCCCCAGGCTCTGCTTTGAGCTGGGCAGGCTGGGGGGGCACAGGACTGCTGTTGTTTTTCACAGTGTCTGTGCTTGTAACAGAGGTAGTTTCTTTCCGAGAAACTTTTGACACCGGAGGCTCCTCCACGGCCATCCCGCTCTGCCGCTGCCGCCGCCGCTTCTTGCTCCACAGCTCGTGGCAATCCTGCCAGTGGGGGAGGCTGGAAGGGAACACTGGCCAGTGAGAAACACGGCTGGGAAACCAGGGGGGTTCCCAGAACACACAGGGAAATTGTTAGAGCCTTAGGAGAAGCACAGGTGAGGTCCAGAGAAACCGCGGCTGCCCCGGCCCTGGGAGCGTCCAAGGGCGGGTTGGACCTGGCCTGGACACCTCAACTCCTGTCCTGGGAAGGGCTCAAGGTCAGGGTGGACAGGGTTGGACCTGGGCTAGTGGGAGGTGGCCCTGCCCAAGGCAGGGGAGTTGGAACTGCATGGACTTTAAGCTCCCCTCCCACTCCAAACCATTCCATGACTCTGCGTTTCCCTGACTGCGGCCAAACCCAGACAGGGCAAGTCCTAGAAACAGGAAAGGCAGCCTAATTACAGGGAATTAATTTAATTTGCACTGGGATCTCATCCCTGAGCGGCCTGGGATCTCACAAAAACCCCACTGAGGGCAAGTGCACCAAGCTCTGAGGGTCTGGGGGCTTTAAGAAAGGGAAACAGGAATTCTGTGGCTGGACTTGCACACAAACCAGCCAGAGTTTTATCATCTGCTTGGCTGGAGTGGGAGGAAATTGCTGCAGTGTGACACTGCTCAACTCTTCCACTCAATTAACACACAGCCTTAACGAGGCCTGACCGGTTCTCCACGGCACAGAGACAGGGATGTGCTATATCCCGCTCTTGCACAACTTGCAGAGTTTCAGAGCATCTTACAAGCATTAAAGTGGGCTTTGTAAAACCAGGCTGTTATCAGGCAGAAATCTAACAGCACGGGAAGAGCGATTTGCTCAACCACAAAACAAAATTCTGGGGCAGAGTAGAGAAAAGAGCCCAGAAATCATAATTTTGACTGAAAAAAACCCCTTGTCTCCTTCCCCCCCCAGCAGAGAGCCCCGGTTGTGGCGGCTGGGACTTACTCAGGAGGTGCCATCTTGCTGAGGTCAACATCCTTCAGGAAGTCACTGTGCAGGGCCTGCTCTGCTGTGCAGCGTTTGCCAGGGTCCAGAGTCAGCATGTGGTCCAGCAGGTCCAGGGCAGACGAGGGAATGCTGGGGAGAGAGCGGGAAACATGCAGGAGTCAAGGGGGAACACGTGGAGAGGCCCCTTCCAGAGAGACCCCTCAGGCCTGAGAGGAATCCACACAGCCAAGGTTTTATCACTCGTGATGCAGCAGCTGGAGCTGTGCCAGGGCGGGTATCAGGGAAAGGTTCTTCCCCCAGAGGGTGGTTGGCACTGAACAGGCTCCCCAGGGCAATGGGAACAGCCCCAAGGCTGCCAGAGCTGCAGGAGGGTTTGGACAACGCTCTGAGGGACAGGGGGGGATTGTTGGGGTGTCCTGGGCATGATCCTTGGGAGTCCCTCCCCACCCAGGAGATTCCACAGTATTTTCACTTTAATTTTTGCCATTTATGAAGAACAACTGTGCTACCAATCCCACAGGGCTACCCCACAGTCAGACTCTCCCCCAGAGAACATCTCCCCGAGGTCAGACCGTGAGGGTGCCGCACTGCCCCACTCCCACAGGGAACCCCTCCAAAGGCACCTGAGCCACATCAGGTGCTGAGGGAGGGGACAGTGACCCCATCCCAGCCTTCCCAGGGGGAAAGAAGCTCCACAAACCACATCCAGAGGAGAAGAGGGGAGTCACAGAGTCCATGCCGCCCCCCCCAGCCCACTCACAAGGAGAACTCCTCGCGCAGGCGCCGCCGGTATTGCTTCTTGGGCTTCATAGTGTTGAAGTAGGGCAGCTTGATCACATCTGGCCACACAGCTGGGCAGGGGCTCCCACAGAGCCGGCTGGCAAGCAGGACAGCAGGGTCAGCCAGGTGGGAATACAAGGGAGGAGACCCCAACCCCTTCCTAAGCAACAATAAGCTCCTTCCTGCAGCAACAACTACGGGCTGGGCACAGCTCGGTGAGGTGTTAGGAAAAGGAGGTATCAGGAAGAGGGAAATGCTGAGCTTGAGATTACAAACCACCCAACACAGTGAATTTTTCTTTTTTTCTTACTCTAAGTTTTAACATTTTAAAATTTCTTACTTTAAATTTTAAGAGTTTACTAACTTTTATTGTCTTTACTATAAGGGTGGGCAGGCACTGGCACAGGATGGCCAGAGAAGCTGTGGCTGCCCCAACCCTGGAAGTGTCCAAGGCCAGGCTGGACAGGGTTTGGAGCAACCTGGACTAGTGGAAGGTGCCCCTGCCCACAGCAGGGAGTGGGACTGGATGAGATTTAAGGCCTCTCCCAGCACGAACCAGTCTGTGATTCTAATTCATGATTTTTGTACTCAGCTCACAGTGAGGTTCACTGAGGGCACACAAATGAAAAGCCACACACCTGACGGGGCTGTGGACACCTGACTACTCCCACTTGGCAGTTCCAGCCACTTCTGGCCCTGTTTTGCAGGCAGGGGGAGAGGAGAAGGGCTCCTCTAACACACAGCCTGCGTGCACGATCTGCTCCTGCAGCGCCTCCTCTCATAGGCATGCATGTGCAACGCTTTACCTGATTAATTCAAGCTGAGCCAGTTCCAGATTGGCTTGAAAAATAGGCTTCTTTGTAAACAGTTCCCCGAGGATACAGCTGGGAAGAGGAAAAGCAAGAGGTCACGACAGCAAACCCTTGGGAGGAGCGTTTGAACAGCGCAGGGTTTCTGCTTTGCCCGAGGAGGGTGATTTGCATCAGGGCTTGTAGTTGAGCACTGACAGACTGACCTGTGTGTACAGAACCCCCCTGTCCTGGGCTCCTGGGGAATCACCTCCCCTGCAAGTGGCTGCTTAATGCAAGAAGCCCTTGGTGTGTTAACTCTTTGCAGGGAGAGGGGGATGTGTTTGTGTGACAAGGGAAAGAGGCAGGGGAGGGACCTCCTTTCCTCCAAATTCAGCTTCCAAACCTCACTGTGCTGCCCCAAACCATCCTCAGCTGCCCCAGCCTGTGTGCCCTTGGATGTGGATTTGTGTGGACACACAGCACTGGCACAGTTGGGAAAGAGGAGGAGGGAGGGCACAGCTCTGCCTCCTTCAGGCCCCAACATCCCTCAAGCCACCAGGAATCAGTGCCAAAAACAGCTGAGGGGGACACAGGGCTCTGCCTGCTGGAACAGGGACAACCCCTCTAGTGGCCCAGGACACTGAGCAGCAAGTGGACCTCACAGCCAGAATTCCCAGCAGGAATCAGGATTAATTGCTGGCTTTCACATCCCTCTGTTTGCGTTCTAAGCTCTGTTCAAATTCAGCTGAAGCGTTCACATTTTGGGCAGTCCAGCCTCACTCGTATATAATATATGATTTAAATATAATATTTGAAATATAAGCATATACTAACTATTAATATTAGTCTGCAGTATAATTGCTTATATTAATAAGTAAATTGAAATCTAGTTGAAGTATTTTATATACGATCATAAAATTATTTAGGCTTAAAAAAAAACATTTTTTAAAAATTTTTTTTTTAAAATCAGCACCCTGTGCACGGCTGGGACAGATCCAGCTGCAGGAATGAGCCCAGATTCCCTGGGAAATGCTCCTGGAGCTGCTGCCCAGAGGCAGGAGATGACTCACCCACAGCTCCACACGTCGATGGCAGGGGTGTAACGCTCCTCCCCCAGCAGCAGCTCCGGGGGTCGGTACCACAAGGTAATCACTTTGTTGGTGTAGGGCCGGCTGGAAGGCAAAACACAAGCAGAGAACTGATGGCAGGAGCCACAAAACCCTTCCAAACTGTTTTGCTTTCACTGCCCAGCTGCAGAGTTCCAACGTGTACCAGCAGCAGGGGCATTTCAGGTGTTCCCACTTCCAGAACACCGGCCTGAGTTAAGGAAAAAGGAGGTACCACGAGTTTTAAAGGTCTCAGGGCTTGAGTTTTTAGGTACCCAATTTTCTGCCCCTCAGGAGGCTGAATGTGCTGCCATCACTGAATAGTGACTGATCTGGGAGCCAAACAATCTCCAAGGCAAACAGAAAAGCTGTTCTGGCTCCTCAGCATCTGGGTTTATAAGGAAGAGTTACCAGTGCCAGCCAGGAGTGTGTTTGTCCAACAGCTGGAGCTGGATCATACACTGGAAATCATCTCTGGGGACTTCCAAGCATAGGGATTCCATGGATGTCCAGAAGGAAGGAGCCCACCCCCGCCTGTGTAAGCCCTGTCCCCTCCTCACCTCTCCTCTGAGCTGTAGAGTCGGGCGAGTCCAAAGTCTGCAAGTTTGATTTGCCCACTGGAAGAGAAAAAAAAACCCAGAAGCCCTGCTTTGAATCCCAGCTGGACTCGAGCAGTTAAACCACAGAACCCCTGAGCTGGAAGGGACCCATCAGGATCAGAGCCCTACTCCTGTCCAAGGGGAAGGAAACCACCCCCACCATGGTTTTCCAGATTGGATTTAATGCTTTGAAGAAGTTAAAAATGAAAAAAAAAAAAAAAAAAAAACAACAACAAAACAACCCAGCAATAATTCAGCATCATCTGCACCACAAACCCTTCCCACCAGACCAATATCCCAGAGGAATTCTGCAGGTGGATTATTCCCACCCCTCCTGCCCCCGAGCACAGCCAAGGTGAGGATGAAGTGTCCTCTTTAGGGAAGGGCTTGGAGAGAGGTGGATCCACTCCCAGGTTACCTGTTGTTCAACAGGATGTTGGAGCACTTAATGTCTCGATGAAGGAAGTTCTTTTTGTGACAATAGTCCAGACCCTCCATTAACTGTTTCATGAAAGACTTGATATGGTCCTCTGAGAAATGTACCAAGCCAGATTCTAGCAGCCCCATTAGGTCATGGTCCATGTACTCAAACACAAGGTAAAAGGCACCTGGGAAAAGAAACACAGAAATGACTGAACAGCAGAGACACAAAAAAGGAGGAATAGAAGTGGATTCAGACGCTGAAAGTCTTTTCTGTGCACTGCTCTCTTTCTTTAACAGTCTTGGGTATTTAGGGCTTGAAGGTCCTACATGATTTTTTTTCCCCTCCTTGAGGTGCTAAAAAACAACACCTAAACAACTAAGCAGCCCCTCCAAGCTGACATCTAAAATTAAATATTCCCTTCAAATAAATTCCTCTGAGATCCTGGCCACGTTTACTCACCTGCTTTGGTTGTTTCCCCTCAAGAGAGTTTGTCCAGGAGATCACTGCTATGCATGGTTTGAACTCATGTTTGTGTTGCTCCCTTCTCTCCCATGGAAGAGAATGTTCCAAACAAGAGCCAGTGGGATTCCAAAACACTCTCCTTCCACAGTGAGGGAGGACACAAGACTTTCCACACTTGTGAGTAAGTTTTTTGCCTCTAATCAGTGTTAGAAGTGACCCTGTAAAGGCCTTTTTTTTTGTTAAAGCCTGTTCATCTGTGACTCTGCATCCTTCCAGTGCAACAACTCCCTTCAACTGGGATCTACCCCTTGAGGAAAGGCCCAGCCCAGCTGCCAAACTCCCTGGAACTGCTTACAGAGGAGGAACACAAAACAAGCCAAGCCACCCAAAGAGCTCAGATTTTGAGCTGTGCACTGAACCAACAGGCTGCACCACACACACGTGGAGAAACCACCCCTGGAGCAAAGCAGTACCTTTGTCCTTCTTGAAATCCAGTGCATCTTGTTTGTCCGTGACGATCTCCTTCATGTTGACGACGCTGCGGTGGATGAGCTGCCGCAGGATTTTGATCTCCCGGATGGCCGTGATGGGAAATCCCTCCTTCTCGTTGTCCAGGCGCACCTTCTTCAGGGCCACCAGCTCACCTGGCCACAGCACACACGCCTGAGTCACGCCCTGCCCTCCTCCCCAGCCCTCCCTGGGGCTCCACGAGCACCAACACCCACCAAGAGCAGCAGAGGCAACTTTAGTTACCCCCCTCAATTCAGTTAACTCCTGACAGAGCAGTTTATCACGCTTGGACTGATGACACCTGTGCTCCTCCTAAGCTGCTCCAGCAGGAAGTCACACAGGGGAACACAAATTTACCCTGGAATTTCCCAGTATTTTCTGCTACGCTCAAGTCTGACACAGTCCCACCTAAAAAGCAGGGGTTCAACCGGCACCTGTGGCTGCCACAGCCACCTGACCAGGGGTCAAACTGCACACCCAGAGCACGGGATCTCACAGGCAGCTTGGCATTAACTTGGGATTGCAGAGCTCCTGGAAGTGCCCTCTGGAAGTGCCTATTCCAGGAGCCATTTCTAGTTCTACAGGTGTTTATCCCCAACCAGCCACCCCAGGAGGGGTGCTGAGCACACCCACAGCAACACGGCACTTCCCCGGGTGGAATTCACCTGGAGCCCCCTTACCTGTGTCCACCCTCACCTGTGTCCTTGTCCTTGGCTTTGTAGACCTGCCCGTAGGTGCCCTCTCCGATAATCCCGATGATGTCAAACTTGTCCACACAGCGCTTGCCCCAGTCGCTTTCCGTCTGCCTCCTCTCCCCGTACCGAGGACAACAGATTCTGGGAGAGGGAACAGGCCTGTGAGACACCACCCCAGTGTCACCCCAGTGTCACCTGCTGGACTGCCAAACCCACCCCTAAGCCCCAAAGGCAGAGCTCAGCAACGATGGCTCCCCGCTCCCAAAAATTTTGGTGTTTTTGGGGCAGTTCAGTGAATTCTGCTGTATAATCCCAAACTATTCCAGGTACAGGCACTGCTGGGCAGGAATACTGTCCTGGAGAGCATTACTGTGCTATAGCAGGACAGAAAGCAATGTTTGGGCTATTTCACAAGATGCTGGACATTTGATTCTTATTTGTACACTAGGAGAGTTTGCTGCCTCAACAACTGCTGGAATTCTGTTATTGGGAAGTTCTCTATGCCTGGAACATGGAATCACGGAATTGTGGAATGGTTTGGGTTGGAAAGGACTTTAAAAAGCCCATCCAGTGCCACCCCCTGCCACGGGCAGGGACACCTTCCACCAGCCCAGGTTGCTCCAAGCCCCGTCCAACCTGGCCTTGGACATTCCAGGGCTGGGGAATCCCACGGCTGCTCTGGGCAACCTGTGCCAGGGCAGTTCCATCACCAACACTTCCATGATGAAACGCAGCAAGAAAACATGGACATAACATGGAAAACATGGAATAACCAACTTCTAAAGCACCACGAGCTTTAGACAGGAGCGCTCACGAGGAGGTTCCCTGGGGCTGAATCAAAGGTGAAAGAGCTTTTGGGGTAGATGTGGCTGGAGACTGAACACTCCAGCAACTTCTGCCGTTAATTCTCAAATAAATGAGGGTCCAAATGCGACACAACCCACAGGAAACGGTGTTTATATGAGAAAACACAGAAATAGGAACCTGTCACCTCCCCATTTCACTTCCCTCAGCAAAGAGCTCTCACACCAGTAAAAAAAAAAGAAAACGACCAACAACAAAGGCAGGCTTACTTTGGTCTCTTTTTGAAGGGTTGCTGAGGTGGTGTGGCTGCCTTTGGTTCCGGGGAGTCGGGAGGAGAGGGGTCCCCCCCGGGGAGCTCCGGGGGGAGCGGGAGGTCCGTGAGGAGGTGGCGTGGTCTCTGCTCTCTGTCCTTCTTCACAGGTTTCGGAGGGAGGATCTCCTTTGGACTAAACTCCGGAAAGTTAAATCAACACACAAGTCAGACTCAACAGCCGGGGAAAAAGCTGCTGCAGGACGACAGCTCTGCTTGACGACCGCCCAGTGTCAGAATCAGCAGAGCCAAAATAAAACAGCCTTAAAATTTACAGTGCCCATTACAAGAGGATTGAACACAGTGTGAGAGCTGAACGCACAGGTCTGCACTGGGACTCGCTCCACCTGCACAAATCAGTAGTCATTTGGAGCTTCCTGTGAGGCAGCTCAGAGCATCAGTCAGAACCCACTTTCGGACCTTCACTTCCCCCCGTTTTACTTCACTTGTCATCGCCACATTAAATGCATGACTCGGTAAGGACTAAACAGAAATGCAGACCCAGAGCTAAACCTCTCTTCATAAGTAACTTTTAACTTCACAGCAAGGACTGAAACGTGGCTTTAACTCCTGAACGCTGCTAAGAAACCAAAAGCTGATTTTTTTCTAAAAATCCAGTTCCCAGTGGCATCAGAAGGTTTGGTTTAGACTGGCAAGAGTCTCGTGAGCAGAAAGAACCCACTTTGTCCCTCGTGTCCCCAGCAAGGAGCATTCCTGGGTTTGACCAGCCAGGAATTCTCCATGCAAACCTCTGCTTCACCACAAAAAGATGAGGAGATCCAAACAACCAGCTGTGTTTTTAGGGCAGGAGCAGGTTTGGTGTTTGTCAGCACCATCAGCTCTGACACTTCAGCACAGATGAACTGATGGAAGTAGGTCATTTTCCCAATTATTTTATTAGACTCTGCCTAATCTGCATGACAAGCTCTTGTGAAACTGAGTTCGGGGAGGAGGAAGACAAGAAAACACCTGAAGTGGGAGAGCTGGACAGGCTGAAACTCTCCCCCCATTGACTGCAAATTCCTGAGGAGCACAGAAACAGCATTTAAATACCTGCTGTATGGAAAACCATGGGATTGTTTAACTGGAAAAGCCCTCCAAGATCGAGTCCAAGCATTAACACTGTCACATTCACCACCAAACCACATCTCAAAGGCTCAGCCTTTTTCCAGACACCCCTCAACAGCCACTTCTTTGCAAGACCTTGGATGGTGGAAGTGTGTCTGTAGGGTCTGTCTGGCCTTTCAGGAGGCCCCTTCTCCCAAAAAATCCCCATTTTCTTGCCATTATCTGTGCTCAGCTCTCTAATTGTACCTCCGGAGCAGGACACCAAACCCACACGGAGTTTGCACCACTTCCTCCTCGACAGCTTTTCCTGCTCTCCTGGTGAATCACCTGGACTGCTGAGAGCTCTAAAAGCACTGCAGGAGGTGCTAAGTCTGCAGAGTCTCTAATTGAACGAGGCGTGTTTTCTCCTTGGACACTTCCAAGCCCTTTCCCAACCCTGTGCTCGGGGCTGGAACGTTCCCCACGCTCAGCAAGGACAACAAAAGTCCAGCTCAGGAAGTTTTGCCCAGAAATACAAAGGCAGTTGGTCAAGGGGGGAGATTCTGCACAGTCAGGGACGTATGGAACTGCCACCAGACTAAGCAAAACGGGATTTCCCACCCTTTTATTGGGAAAAAGCCACATAAAGCCACTCCCTGAGCTTTGCTTCATCCCCCTCATCACCCCCAGCCCTGGGGTCAGGGATAAAACAAAACTCAGCCACACCTGGGGGGTAAAAAAAGAGCTGAACAACAGCTCAGGGAGGGCAACAAACCACACTTTTAGGTCAGGGAACGTTTCCCTGATTGGCATCAATACCAGGACAACCCATGAAAATCAATTCCACACTCAGAAAATGTAACACGAGGAGTTCACTTCACCACAGGGTGATTGTATCGAGTCAGGAGCTGACTGCCCAAAACCCAGCACACCTTCAGTGGTTGGGGAGACACAGCAGCTTTCAGGGAACTAGAGGCTAAGCAAGCCCAGTAGGAAAAGAAAATAAATATGTATCATTTGAGTTAACAGCACTCCAGCACACCGACAGCTAGAAGGGAGAGAAAAAAATATAAATATCTGGGTTTCTTCTTTTCCATCTTCATTTTGGTTATTCTCTTCTTTTCCCTTCTTCCCCCCACCAAAAAAAAAAAAAAAAGAAAAAGCCCCATAATGAGCTTTTTCAGACGAGTCCATCACAGAAGCCACAGCTACCCCCAGCCCAACCAGAGCTCCAGTTACAGGACAGAGCCAAGCCTGCATGTTTTGATCAGGAATCACAGGAAATCAAGTTGGAGTAGGTGTAGTTTCACTCATTTTTAAACAACACCTACTTCTCAAGCAATAAAGGATTGTAATTGATGACTCAATAGTTAGGACAATACTTCAGTTCAACCAGTGCTGGTTTTACCCCTGGGCAGGGCCTGCAGGGTTGGTGAACTGGGAACAGAAAAAGCTCTGGATTGGAAGTGTTAAGCTCTTCCCTGCTCCTGAAGTACAAGTTTTGGAGGAACTAAACAAAAAAACCCAGCAATTTTAAGAAGTAAAGTCTGTGCATACAGCTGCAACATCCCAGATCCGTGTTCCATTCCTGCAATAAATACAAACCAAGAGGGAAACCTTGACAAAGCAGCAGCCAAACTCCTGTTTTCCCCACAGGGAGGAAGAGGTAACTACCTGCACGGGATCATCAAACTCTCCACACAAACCTGCTGGAGCGGCCTTGGGATAACACACTTACACCAGCGACAGCTGCACCCCTGCAAGGTGAGCTCCCAGCTGTCCAGCTCCCCCAAAAACCCCCTCGTTATTTCAAGGCAAAGGGGACGCTGTGGCGTGACCTTACCTATCCAAGTCATCTTCCCCAACTAAAATAGGGGGCAGCGGAAGCGGAGGCAAGGTGGAAGTTTTCAGGTGTGGGATAGCAGCCGTCACAGACACTTGGGTTTTTGTAGCCACCTGCACAGAGGACTGGGAGTTCACCTGAGAGGATAAAGTAGACGTCCTTGGGTGGGAGGAGGATGGCAAAGACGTTGGGGCTGGAGGAGGGGCCTGCACAGGAGTCACTTGGGCTGGAGGCAAAGGCGGGACGGCGGGAGACGGAGGCAAAGGCGGCAGCGGCGGAGTGGGAGGCGGAGGGGTGGTGGTGGGCAGGGGCGGAGGGGGGGACTTGATCGAGGGCAGGGGGGGTGGTGGGATCTCCTTCTCCGCTGTGTCTGTCTCCTTTGGAGATACCAGGTCCTCCAGCGCCGCTCCGGCCTTGGAGTCCTTTGTTCCCGAGGGTTTGGAGTCCCGAGCCGGGAGGGGATGTTTGCGCTCCGCGTTCTCCTCGGGCCGGGCCCTGGCGGGCTCGGCGGGGCCCTTGGGCTCGGCGTTGCTGTGCAGTAAATTCACCGACTCGGCCTCTGGAGGAGCTTTCTCCAGCTTAGCAGTTTTGGTGGCCTTTTTAGACTCCGATCCAGCCTCCTTCAGCTCGGCCAGGCTGTTCTCCTTCCTGGCCAGGAACACCGGCGAGCCCTTCGCCTCCTTGCCGTCCACCTTGGCCGCAGCCGCCGCCGCGGCCGCTCGCTCCTTCTTCTTCCTGCTGAGCTCTGCTCCCAGGCTGGAGTTCAGCGGGAGCCTGGTGGGGGAGATGCTGGAATGGCGGCTGCGGGACCCAGACCTCTGCTTTTTGCTGTGAGATGAGTGCCTCGAGTAGCCAGGGCTGCGGCTCCGGGACTTCACGGATTTCCTGGGGGGGGAGAGAGAGAGACACGAAACGAAGCTTCTGTCAAACTCTGAGCTACTCACCGACCGCTGAACCCAGGGTTGGGCAGGTCAGAGGGTCCTCAAAGCCCGTCAGGAGAGGCTAAAGCTGCTGCAAGGGGTTTATTGAGGTGATCAGGAGCAGTTTCCCATCCTTCCTGGGCCAGGACCGCCCTCACCATCACAACAGTAACACAGAAACGAAGGACCAAGGCTGGACAAGCCCCAAGGAAAAAGGAGATCACAGAGACCTCAGTCCAGAGGATGAGCTGGCAGTTCAGGAATCTTTCCCAGGGATTAGGTACAACTTTAAAGGAAATAACGGATAAAATAAGACCAAATCTGCCTCAGGAAATCACACACTGATGAGCCAGAAGCGCTTCCTCCGCTCCAGCAGGACCCAGGATTGGACAGCTGAGACAGCGGGTTTGATGAGACAGGAAAACCAAACACTGTGAGAGCAGACCCTCCAAACCCTGCAGCAGACACAACACTCCGGGATTACTCAGGGCATGTTTGGAAAACACAGAATTCTCCCGGAACACAGTCCCCCAGCAGCTACAAAACACACACCTCGTCCCAAACAGGTCCAAACCCAGGCGGCCCTGGGGGGCTGCACCACTAACAACGAGATCTGAACTCTCTGTGGGGCCACAAAGACTAACACAGAGCTCCTGGTTCATCACCACCTGAGAGAGGCCCCACATCCTGAAGCATTCCTGCTTTCCCGGCTCCACCAACGCCCCCAGGAACACACCACTCCAACAAAACCTCATCTCCCATCACTGGACCATCAGCAGCCCCAAAAAGCACCAGTACCCAACACCCACAGCACCTGCTGAGGGGCCTTTCATCATGGGTGTCTCCAAACAGATCCAACGGGGGCACACAAGGTGCACAGGCAGGTTTTGCTTCTGGAAGAGAACCCTTTCCATCCTCTGGAATGGGGGGTTTTTTTGGTGGATTTTTGCCTGCAGCCACTTGTCAGCACTTTTAGCCCTTTCACCCTTTAATGTGTGTTAAGAGGACTCCACACCTTATTTGCTTTGCCAAAGATTATCCAGGATGGATAAGGGGCAATTCAGTGTCACATGCAGATCCTGGGGATAAAAATGCCCTGGGATTAAAAGCCACCTTGTTGTCCCCTCTGGAACTGGAAACTAGAAAGGGAAGATACCAACCACGAGGACTGTGAGCTAACACAGAGCTGGGGGTGGTGCCTCACCTAAAAAAAAAAAAAATCCAAACAAAAAGCATTATGAGGTTCATTTAGCTCGCACAAGCAGAAGATTGGAGTGGCCTTTGGAGGAGGGAATGCTGGAACCTTCCAGACTCCCCATGCTGAGCCTGGCCATGGTTAATGAGTGTTACAGGTGGCAAAGCCACTGTTTCTTATTTTTTGGATGCCCAAGGACCTTCCACCATGGTAAAGACCCACATGACACAGCTACTGCTCACTCACTGCTAGGCTGAGCAGGCGGCACATCCCACCTCCAGCAAGCTGCAGGACTCTGGAATTCCATCTCCCTGTTTTAGCTGCAGTGACAACAGTCTCTACCCAGAATGGCAAAAAGCACATCTGTAATTTTTCCCCTGCTGACCAAATCCTCCTTGTTTCCTGCTCGATGGGAAGAGAGCTGTTTTCCCCTCTGGATTTTCTCCAATCAGCACATGGATTCAGTTCCCTAACGCCGTGTTTTGGACACGGAGATGAAAGGAAATGCAGAATGCACTAAAAAACCCCCCCTGATATTGTCAGTCAGTGGAAATAACTGAGTGTCCCAGAAAAGCCACAGTCAGGTGTTCAGGGCCCCAGTGTGCCACTTAAAGAGGTTTTTCTCTCCCAAAAATATTCCTGCCCCTCCACAGGAACCAAGAGGAGGCACTGCCCCAAGTCAGCTGCCTCAGCACAAGGTGAGGGTGAACACTGAGTAACCTCTGCAACCTTGTTTTGGTTTGGGGTCTAACGTTGAGTCAAAAGATGTCCTTAAAAAAGGGGGTCTGGCAGTTCAGGGAAGCAGCACAAAGTTGCTCCCTTTAAATCAGGAAAATGTAACTGGATTTCAAACCTCAGAAGCAACCAACCATTTACACAGAGTGAGCTCCAGGTTCTCCTGGGAAGTGGAGAAGGGCCTGGGGGGGGGAAAACACAGCTCTTGGGATCCCACTGCAGTTCCCAAGGGTTTCCCCCTGCTTAGGGCTGAACTGACATTTCTCAAGTGCCACAACACACAATTACATCAATTTGCAGACAAATCCTCCCACTGTATCCTTCCTCTTCCCAAATATTAGTGAATAAGGCGTAAGAACAGCCAAAAGGATGGAGGGGAAGAAGGGGAAAACCCTCCAGGCCTATCCCTGAGGGCCTCCCAGGTGCACACGTGGAAAACAGGGCAGAGGAGCAGCAGCCTGGAATAAAGAGGTTTTACATAAGAGCTTTCCAGGGGGGCAAAACCACCCCAGGCCTCCCAGCAAGGACAAAAGGCAAGTGCACCACGGAAGGCAAGCGCTCCTGAAGGGAAGTTTTAGCGACAGAGACCGAATTCCAAGAGCTCTTGGGGAAGTGCTGATCTGGAGGACTCGGCAGGGCCGAGCATTCCTAAGGCCACCGCATTCCAGGTCACATCTGAATTGCCATGGAGCTCCAGGCAAAGCTCCACAGCATCCATGGTGACAACTGGAAGCTCACTGAACACGGGCCAAAGCTAGGGGGGAAGAAAAAAAAAAAAGAAAAAAGAAAAAAAAAAAGGATCAATGTTGGCCATGTAACAGGACGATTAACGAGCATCTGAAATAAATCACAAGGAACTACCTTGAAGGGATCGTTTCCTTCTGGAGCAAAGTTGTGGAGTAAAGGAAAGAGGAGAGAAAATGATGAGTTAAACCAAAATCCAGCTGGTTGCTCCTCGCCCTTCCAGAATGCCCAGATTCCAGAAGGGAAGGAAGAAACTGGGAAAGTTTAGGCTGAGAGATGGAGTTTGCACTCTCTGATCCAAGGGGAAGGACAAGACAAGTCAGTGCAGAAAGAGTGAAATCCACCCGAAATGAGCCCTCCTGAGAAGTGGGATCAGTTCCCACATGGAATAAGCAGGTAAAGGCTTCCAGAAAGAGGTGAAACGGCTCCCCACAGGCTGAGCTTCCCACCAGGTAAAGCGCCTTAGATCCCGTTTGGGAGCCCGGGGGCCACTCCAGAGGTGGGTGTAACTTAATCCCAGAGCTCATCCAGCCTCTCCCTGCCCGGAGCCAACATGGATGCTGCCTCCTGCCACGCTCCCAGGGAATTGGAACACACCATTCCAAGGGAACTGCCACCACCCCAACCAGAGCAGCTCCACACACACCACTCCATGGCCAAACTCAGCACCAGTGGGGAGGAAGAGGGTGCATGGAATCATGGAATGGTTTGGGTTGGAGGGGATCTTGGAAACCATCCACTCCCTGCCATGGGCAGGGACACCTTCCACTGTCCAAGGTTGCTCCAACCTGGCCTTGGACTCTTCCAGGGATCCAGGGGCAGCCACATCTTCTCTACCCAACCTGTGCCAGGGCCTCCCTGCCCTCCCAGGGAGGAATTCCTTCCCTATATCCAACCTAAACCTCCTCTCTTTCAATGGGAATCCACTCCCCCTTGCTCTGCCACTCCACGCTCTTGGGAATAATCTTTCCCTACCTTTCCTGGAAGTTCTCCTCACTGAACTTCTTAAGAGTCAAAACCTGAGCTTTCCAACCGCTGGGATTCAGAATTTTTCCCTAACATCCCACCTAACCCCCCCCCTCTTCCCATACAAACCCATTTCCCGCCATTCCCTCCACAGGCATCCCCATCCCAACCCTCTCCCACCCTCCCTTCCCAGGGTGGGAGAATCCCACGCACCTGGCGATGGGGCTCCTGCTGACGGAGCGCTTGGAGGCGAAGGGGCTGCTGGAGCGGCGGCGCCCGTAGGGGCTGGGGGACCTCCCGCCGTACGAGCCGCTGCCCCTCTCGTAGCTGGACGAGCGGCGGCGGCCGTAGGGGCTGAGGGAGCGCTGCCGCCGGCTGTAGGGGCTGGGCGAGCGGGCGTTGCACTGGTAGCCCACGGGCTCCTTGTAGGGCGGGCTGAGCGACTGGCGGCGAGAGGAACCGCCGGGGCTCTTCCTGTAGGGCTCGTAGGTGCTGGACGTGTGCGAGCGCGGCGGGCTCAGCTCGTACTCCTGCACGTAGGAGGCTCCCGAGGGGCTGTCGTCCAGCTTGGGGCTGTCCGACCACTTCCTGTGGGGGCTCCGCGACTTGCGCTTGGGGCTCTCGAGGGTTTTGTAGCTCTTGGGGGCGTCCCTTTTGCGGTGGCTCTTGCCGCGCTCCTTGTGGCTGGACTTGAGCTCCCGCTCCTTCCTGGACTTCTCCTTGTGCGCCTTGGCCGAGCGCGATTCCTTGTTGCTGCCCTTGGAGGAGGGAGCCTTGGGGTGCTCGTCGCTCTCCGGGAGCCTCTTGGAGGATCCCGAGACCCTCTCCTTGGCGGACCTACCGGAGGCCTCCAGGCCCTTCTCCAGCTTCCTGTCCTTCTCCGCCTGCTTGCTGCTCTTCATCAGCTCCCGCAGCCGCTTGTGCTGGTGGTGCCGGTGCTTCTGCGCCCTCTCGCCGCGCTCCCTCCTGTCCTCGCTGTCCCTCCTGTCCGGCCGCAGGGCCACATCGTCCGAGAAGGTGTCCGAGTCGGAGCTGATGTCGTCGTACTCCACCAGCGGCTTGATCACGGCTCCCAGGGGCGCCGCCGCCTCCTGGGCCGCCAGCGGGGACTCCTTGGAGTGCCGGGATTTGTGCCTCTTGTGCCGGGAGCCCGCGCGGTGCCTGTCCCTGCTGTTGGAGCCGCCCGCCTGCGAGGCCCCGCCGCCGCCGTCCTTCTTGCCCCCATGTCTCTCCGGGTTGGGCATTCCTTCCTTGCCCCGCCGCGCTCGGGAACGGCCGAGAGGGGGGGAACTCCTGGGAACCCCCCCCGGGGCTTCAAACTCCCTCGAACTCCCTCCGCGCCCGCCCCGGGGCCTCGGCCCTCCCTCCTACATGGGGAGCGGGCCGCGAGGCCCCGGCGGAGGCGGGAGGGAGGGGGAGACCCGGGAGGGGAAGGGAGGCCCCGGGAAGGGGCGGGGGAAGGGCCGCGGCCTCACCGCCTCATCCGCGGGGGGCCCAGGCCCGGCGCGCGGGGAGGCGGTGCCGGGGGGGGTCCCCGGAGCGCTGCCCTCCCCCCCCCGCGCTGTGGGGCGGCGCTGTGGGCTCCCCGCGCGAGGGTCCCCGGGCGAAGGGCGGGTCCCGGCGCTGCCGCCCCCGGCCCGGCCCGGCCCGGCCCGGCCCCCGCGCGCTGCCCGACCCGCAGCGGCGCCGACCGGGGGGCACCGCGGCTCTCGCGAGAGCCCGCCCAACTCTCGCGAGAGCCCAACTCTCCCTCTCCCTCGTCCTCCCTCCCTCCCTCTCCCCGCGGCCCCTCCTCCTCCTCCTCCTGCCGCCACCCGCGCGCGAGCGCGCCCGTCCTCTCGCGAGATCCGCCGGGATGACGCTGCTCCCGCCCTCAGCGAACTTTTATTGGGGCGCGGGGCGGCGGGGGTGGCGGCGCCCCCTGGCGGCCGGCCCGCCGCCGAGCGCCATGGCGCCCGCGCTCCCGCTTCTCCCGCCGCTTCTCCTCCCGCCGCCGCGCCCTCCGAGGCTGCCGGCGCCCCGCCGCACCACACCGGCCGCTAACGGGCGGTTAACGCCCCGTTAAAAA